AAAGGTGACTGTTAAAAGAAACTGGTGAGCAGAAGTTTTCACTTGCATTAAAATGACAATCCAGGAGAGAAAATATGAAATGGTTTGTGCTTTTATGTTCTTAAAACTGCTCCGGGTTCACTTCAGTTTCTGGTTTTACTGTACATCAGGCTTGGGGGGAACAATTTGCTAATTAATGCTGGATTATGTTAATCTGTTAAATCCCTCAAGACACAGCCTCTCCTACAAATTCAGATGTAAAGAAAGCAATATAATTCCATTACTTCAGAATGAAACTTTTTCATATGCATTATTTGTGATGATCTGCACTGCTACCTAGTAGCTCTTCAATTGGGGAAGAGAGGACCAGCCCAGAAAACAAGAGACCGCTTATTCTAGAGACAAGCATGAATGTACAAGCAGGGATGTGCTTAAAGCCAGTTTAAAGTCCAACTCAAGTCAAAATTCGGACTAGTAAACTATTTCCACTTTGTTTTTCACTTTCATGATTTTGAAAGAGGTTTTACTTTAATTTTACTCCACGTTTATAATAAGAATCATCTCATGCTGATTCAAATAAAATCACCTATAGAGTCAATTATTTATAAAACGGCTGTGGACCACATGAAACAGAAAGGCACAGAATTTAGTCTCCTGTTTTTAACACCACCTCATTGAGATTAAGGTGCTAGGACTGCTGTTTTCCATCTATTGGAAGGTAGAATGAACTCAGATATAAAATGTTGTAGCAAACCAATTGAAATCGGAAAGATTCTCCAATGGCTTAAAAAGCTTCCCAGGGGGAATACACTGCAGTATGTATGAAACTGCATTGGTTCAAATGCCTCTATAATACAACTCAGTTTTATTTCTTAGATCAAACTCAAGAGGCTGTACAATAATGCCCTGTATGCACATGTCATATTTTTCATTAAAAAACAGTAAACTGCTTCAGAGAACCACACTACATTATACATTATCAGATACAAGTAAAATGGTTAGGCCCTGAGGAAAGTTTTAGAAGTGCCCACAGTTCCAGAGAAATTCACATTCACAGATGTGGTGCCACACAAGAAGAATCTCTGTCACCCGTTCTGTAGAGTCTGGTCTTTATAAGAAGGCCTGAACTAATTGATCTCAAGTTCATGCAATAAGCTTTTATGATAACCTAGAGCAAAAAGCCTTTTGGTCCATCCTAAATGTCACATGAAGTCAGTGCCATTTACTGAGCATGGGAATTAAATGCAAATTCAGTGTAGTTTTAATTAGCACACAAGCTGCAGAATTCTGGAAATCTGTTGTTTTACCTCGTCCGGGTTGTGCAGCTCTGCTGTGCCCATGGTGGCGATTCTTGTTATATTTTGTTATATCCAAGGTGAGGGAATGTGTGTTATTTGCGTACCCTGGGTTACAACTTAATGTAAGGAATAGGTCCTGATAGCATCCCAAAGATGCCCCATTCGTAGCCTAATCATGCCCAACCTCTGTGAGATGCCCTGCCAATAGGGAATGCCATTCTCTTAGAAGAGAAAGAGAATCAAGGCAAAGAACAAACTGAGCACTGGTTCAAGTGCCTCCAGCTATTCTAGTCAGCCTGATCTGTCTGTTTATGTGGTTCCTATTCAGTGCCTTGCAAAAGTATTCACTCCCCCTTTTCACATTTTATTGTGTTACAGCAAGGAACCATGATGTATTTAACTGAGAATATTTGCTACTCATCAACGCAAAGTACTCTATAATGTCAAAGTGAAAAAAAAAATCCAGACATTTTACGAAATTAAATAAAAATAAAATAAACAGTACTCTATACACTGTACATCTAAGGGATATTGTGTTCAAAAAGTAATTTCTCAGGTGTTCTAATGAAAAATAGCTACAGTATGTAGATTATTTCTTGTGTGGGTCCACAGTTAAAATGTTGTTTTTTCCTTTTCAGCATTGAATTAATTACCATTTGTTCCTTTGAAACTCCCAGTTATTAATACTATGACTACTACTACTAATACTACTACTTCTACTACTACTACTACTACTACTACTACTACTACTACTAAGAAGCATTAGCATAGGCTCTCAGACGACAACAAAGAACATGGTTTCATCACTGTGCACTAATTTTTGGTCTGTAAGTTGTGGGTTAATGGTTCACTTTCAGATCACTTTCTCCTGTTTAATAGCACAGCACGTGTGCTGTGTCAGACCTTGACGACAGAGGATATGGTGTATCTATCATTATACAGGCCCCATCAAAACACAGGACCTGCAGAGAGTGTTCATCTGGAAAATTCTCTGAACTAAAACAAAGCACCAACACAAGTGCAAATGGAAACATGTGGATGAGTCTTCCATTAAAGACACTGGCACAATTAAAAGTCACTTCTCTCAGGCTTCCTTCTTATTATATTATTCATATAATTAAAACTCTGTTCAGTAGCGGGACATGGGAAAGGCTCCAGTCATATTTGTCAGCTGAACAAACATTGCATTCATTTTCCAGATACTGGCTTGCTCCAGGGAGAAGTACATGTTATCTATGTGGTTGTTTGCTTATTGCAGAAATATGCCCTTTGTAAAACAGAACCTTGTGCAATTTATCAATAAAGTAGGATGGGCACATGCAAAAATACAATTATCAAAAGGAAAAGCACAGCCTCAGAGTATTTTGTCTTTTCACACATGAACTAATTTATTATTCCTGAAAGTCAGATTATGCCCTAAACAGCTGATCTGAAACAAAACATACTGTATCTTTCTTTCCTTAGATATGATTTCACATTTAATGGAGAAGAACTTCATCACATTACTGATTTAAATTCTAATGTGGCTCACCTCTGCCTTAAGAAATTGTTTTTGTTCACTATAGAGGGGAGCTTGATGTAGGTTATCAATAAGGAAAAGCGGTTATTTAAAAAATAAACTTGTTACCTGGTTTGGTGTAGTCAGCTAGAACAGAGATTTAATACCTAATAAGCTCTCAATTAAGGTTACCTTTGCTCTACTAGACCATGTTGCCATTTTTTTTGCTGAGAGTAGTCGAAGAGATCTGGTTAAGCACGTTGTTACTTCAACTAAAGTGTCCATTAAGTGAATAAATCGACAGCTCAGAAAGAATGAAAATCAGAAGCTACAGGGGTCTTCCCAGACAGAGAGGAGACAAATATGATTCTGCTCTTGTTTTGCTGTATTTGCATTGTGGTTTAACAAAGCTGAAAGGTATGACACAATTAATATGGGTATGCTTCATGAGTGCAGTGTTCTGCTGCAGGAGAAAATGAACTACTCTTTTTTTAACAAGATCACAATATAACAGCTAATAAACTTAGATTACACATGGAAGAGGAGGCACATTGATCCAAGAATCCCACCCAGTTCTTTCTTCAAGGATCCCCAGGGATCAGATTCCACAATGTGTCTGAAAAGTGTTACCAGATACCCAGAACTCTCTATGTAGACCTAGAGTGACAGAGAATGTCAATTCTTAATGTCCAGATATAACCCTGTTATGTCACTGATTGCGCTGCTTTTTTAAAATTTAATTTGCTTTAGCATGGTTCTCCAGACCTCATGCTGTTCAATACCTCTGCCTTAGCATGCTCCTGTTTCGATTTTTCTGCTCTTGTACTAGACCATAACTCAGTAGTTCTTATCTTGATATGCCAGAGTGAGCTTTCATAAGGGACAGCACATGCACATGTTCTATGTCTAGTTGTTAACCCCCCACACTGCAACCTAGGGGTCAGTGTTAACGCCATCATTAACTAACACAAAGGTCCCTGTCCAAGAGTTAGTTGATAACAGCATTGTGTGCAGAAGCATAGTCTTGGTTGTTGAATGTTCAGCTTTTTGTCTTAAGACAGGCTTCTGGGATTCCTTGAATTCCTAGACCTCTTACCCAAATATTGTTTTTTTTAATAAGTTTGTTTGTACTGTACGTACCGTAAACACTGTCCCTTTTCTTTCTTTTTCTTTTCTTTAGTTCATAGTTTATCTGAATCACAAGATCTCTTGCAACATTGAACACTATGGGAATCAGAAATAGCTTTACTGGAATTTTAGCACTCTCACAGAGAAAATTCACAGAACTAAACTGAAAAGAGTGAACTCAGCAGTACAGGCTTGCTCTCCATTTCTCATACCACTGCGCTGTGGGAGTGACCTGCACAAAGGTGGTGAAAAGGTCATGTGGGGGTTATTAGGGGATGGAAAGATGTCACAAATCTACTTTGTTTGACTTGTCTGACAAAAGTGTATCTTCCTTAATGGAACAGTATGTTCTGTGCTCCAAGGCTCCCTGAAGCACACTTTGTCCAAACACAATTTGGTATGTGAAAGGGGGAGAAACAAATATGTAGTGGTTCCCCTTTTGAAAGAAGATCAACAGTAGGTACTTGAAAACAGCCGTGACAAGACAGTCATTTGTGTAATTTAACATTTGGAACATTAACATGCTTACATCACGATTGTCTTTCCACAATATCACTGATATTCCAGAATAGAGGAAAAAATATTCCATGCAGATGAAGATGACTTTATGAAAAAATAAATAGTGTCCTCAGAGTATGGAACAACAAACAGGTGCAGCTACTCATCTTGATACTTGACGTTTTAGTCAAGTATTCTTCATACTAAGGAATGAACATCAGTGACCAAAAAAAACAGTTGAAAATAAGTAGTTTTCCCTTCCATAAGAATACTTTATGGTATCTTATATTTTTCCTCACTGTAAAATATGTTTCATTTTAAATGTACATCTTAGAAATAAATATACTCAGCCCACAGCATTACAAGCTCCTGCATAAAAATGGAACCATTTTTCCCCATACACTCTGGTACTGTTAGTCCAACAAAGCTTCCATTTCAGGAGATCTTTGAAGAGGGTTTATGTAAATCCTAGTTATCAGTTATGTGCAATTGACCAATGTAATTTGGAGAAAAACTTGTTCTTTATTTGCTTTTTACCAATCAATGTGAGCTTTTACCGTATCATTCACCTGTCCCGTAACTCAAAATTAGGTTCTCACCTCTGAGACATTGTGTTCTGCTTCAGGACTGCTGCTGTTTTTTCTGGTCATTTCCAAGTGCTGCCAAGTCTCTGCATACACAGCATCCACACCCTTCTTTTTCTCCCTGCTCCGTCCCACGGACCTCCTGTATCGGCTAACGAGAAACTCCCTGTAGTGCAGGAGCTCTGGGAAAACATCATCGTTGTCGTCATCTTCAGAGGAACAGGACTCGGCGTCTGAGCCCTCATTGATGAAGAGCTCGTTGCTGCTGCTGGAGAAGCAGCTGCTGGGGAATTTGTAATCGGAGAAGGTGATGGAGCTGGGTTTGTGCTTGACAATCCTGGGCTGTTCCCCTGGCTTGCTTGAAGAGCCGCATGCAGGAGAACTGCTTCCTTCATGGACTGAGGAGCAATCCGGCTCCTTTTCACAGCTGGGAACGGGCAGCAGGTCCTTATAGTTGCTTCCATCTGAATCCACACATGGTGTACCCTCCCTCAGCTCCAGGTTAGGTGTGTGAAAGCCAACACCTGCATTACTCCCTGCCTCATTTTCAGAGAGATGACAAGCGTTGCATTGGTTGTCATATTCCCCTAGTATTGTTCCACTTTCGGACAAATGATGACCTACCCTGCTGTCTCCAAATTCCTGAGCACTGAAGGTCATGGGTGACAAGGATGGTGATGACAATGAATCCTCCCGAACAGATGTAGGTTCCATCCCGTTGTCTAGATCTTGGCTACAATCACAAGGTGAATCCATAGCCCTCTATTCCTGAGGCTTGGCTCAGCCATCTTTTTCTTGGTTTCAGTTAAAAGGTTCCGTGATGTTCCACTGTTTCTGAAGAGTCTCAGGCATGTTCATATTACTTCACCCCATTCATTTTACCAGCACCAGCTAAGTGCTGAAAGAAAACACAAAAACTGAATCAATACTGGCTAAATCACCTATTACATCATTTGTACATCTGATGAGCAGCACAAAATGAGCAACACAACCTACAGTACCAACATTTTCTTGAAAATGCAAGAATTTCAAAGACCTGTTAGATCTTATATTACATGAATGCATTTTAGACCTATAGCATTTTCTAGGTTCACATGCTTTCATTAACACATTCACAGAACTGCTCCTGCCACTACCAAACTGAATTTGGAAAGTCTGATTTATTTCACAGCCCATGGTGCTTTAGACTTTGGAATGGGAGAGCGCATGTGCTTGAGATGCAAGACTGTCATTCGCACAGCAGGTTTGTGTTTCTGTTTCTTCTCGCTTCAAAAAAGAGTGCTGTAAGTTGACTGTCTAAACCCCACCCCCCCCATCACCACCACCTCCTGTATACTGATGCTCAACTGAAAGGACAGTGAGATTTTGACACCTGGTTAAGGTCTGCCTTGTCATGTCTGGATCTGTTTTAGACACAATCTCACTGACATCACTGAACACAAGAATCTGTAACTACAGCACTGGTCAGTGATTTACTTTTAGCTGTGCTATTCATCAGTCACAAAAGTGTTCCGTGCATACTGTGTTTAAAGTCGGCTCACCCCGTCATTAACCCTGAATTTAAGAACCCACGTTTATTTGGCTTTTGATTCTTCCCTTGAAATGGAAAAACTGATGCATTCTTTTGCACGTTGCAAATGAAGCTACAACATGAACTATTATTTTTTTACAGGAACAAAAACAATCACTTTCCTCAGGCAATGTTCCCATCATGGCCCTTAGAAGGTATCTCTTAAAGACAACAGGATAGCACAAATGAAAAGTTTTAGTTAAAGGAGACATGCAAAATTGCAGCAGCTTGTTTTGTAATAGAAAATTCTCCCCAGAGGTACCATTCACAAAACCTTAATTCGCACATTTCTCACACACTTCATTCACTCCACGTCTGCAAAGAGTTTTGCATGTTATACAGCGCCTTTTTTTTTTTTACAAGGAACATTTGTGTCCACATATCTTTGTGAAAAAGTCTTTAAATGCTGAGGAATGGTGAACAAAAACTGGCTTGGTGTTAAAGACAACGTGAGATTTCTCATTTGTTGTAACAAATGTGCACATTTTTATCAAGCACTTGACCCTTAACGTGCATGGTGCAGGGCTCATTCACCTCGGTGCTCAGCTATGCCGTGAAATTAACACACTTTCTAGTTAAGATATGTGAATGCTTGAGGGAAAAAAGGAAAACGTGCACCTGTACTAATGATAAGAATTGGCGCTAACCTTCAGAACATGATAAGAATAATCTTAGGCACGATTCAAGGATTTTTCCCTTTTCTTGAAAGCCGAAAAGAAAAACAACGTATCAACTGCAACATTACAGACAATTTTCTTCATTTAAGATGGACCGAAACACAGTCATTATTAAGGGATTATGTTTTCTTACAAAAACACACACATGCAGTTAAAACAGAAAAAGTAACAGCACCAGAAACATGGCTCGTTGCATTAGTTAGAATCTTCTTGAATTCTTGAATTATATAGTTTGGATTTGCAATCATAAAAATAAACACACAAGTGTTAGGGACAACCGTATTATGCCCCACTGCCACAACAGTCAAAGCCACATACAGTATACAACTTTAGGTTTATCATTCAGCTTCATAAGAAATACAGTCTTTTAGCCTCTGAAACAGCTTTGGAAGCCTTAGTGATGAAAGAATCTCTATTGATGATTTATTAATAATATAATTAATATTAATAATATAAAGTATTTTCTTTAATTGTGTGTAATCTTACAAGGTAAAATATTGTTCTTTATGAAAGAAGAGTCATTTTTGTGTATGCTTTCAGAAATCAAATGCCCTCCTTTCAGAAGTGATAAAACTGGTCTAAATAAATACAGGCTCGTCCGTTCTGTTTATAACTTTCCTGCAGGTATTGAAACAGGTAAGAGAGCACAACAAAAGCCAGTTTCCTAGGATATCTCTGTGAGGAAGAAAAAATAAAATTCAGAATTAACCAAAACTCTATGGTTAACCACCAAACTCTTTCAAGGTATAATAAGCAGACATCAAAGGGAAATTAGACAGTTCAATTCTCATTCTCTCAGATCTGTTATCTATTACATTTTATTTAAATTTAAAACACTAAACGACTAAAGAGCAAAGCCAAATGGATAAACATAAAGAAGCACAGAAAAAAGAAATGGACATGATGCACAGACTCATGGCAGCTGAGGTGTTTATTGATGGATCAGAGTTACTTTGAGGAGGGGGAAGGTTGGGATTCAGGGAGATTTCCTAATAGAAATAGATTAAAGTTGGGAAGCAGTTTTCTTGGGAAAAGACATTCTCACTCTTCATTCTTATTTCTTTAAATCAGCTGTGAAAGAGAGGAGCTATTCAATATGTACAGTAACAATAGGCGTATAAACGCAATAAAAAAGAAAATGGAAATTTGATTTATCCATGGTTTAGTTTGGTGAACAGTTTACATTTTTCAAATAAGACATTTACTACAATTATTAATTCAGCTTCAATGTTATAAACGTACAGTTAGAATGTGATCCTAATCATTATTTTTTTTAATACAAGTATTTTAGTATTAAGGAGGACTTTTTTACTTAAAATATATATATATTTATAAAAAATATATCTAACTTTATAAAACAAATTGCAGACTGCTGACCTTTGCTTTCCTGGAATATTTGTACTGATTGTTCCATTACTTCAGAAAGTAATATTATTTTCTTGTGTAATAAAAAAGAATTTCTGCATTTTTTATGTTGATAATCTATAATTAAAACAAACGCATGAGAAGAAATGGGTGAGATGTACTTTTAGTCACATTAAAACAATAATTAATTGAAAAGAACATTGGCCATTGATTGCAGCCAAACTAAACTATTTAAACTAGAAATATACAAGTACACCCTCAAAAGATGGAAATACAATATCTTTGCGGTTATATCTTTCTTCCCTTTCTAAACTCATCTCCAGCAACCCATTGATCTCCACCCATCTATTCATTTTCTAACCACTTCTTCCAAGTTGTGGGGGAACCGGAGCCTATCCCAGCAAGCAACTGGCACAAGCCATGATACACCCTGGATGGGACATCGCAGGGTAGACACACAAACACACACACACTCATACCAGGGCACCCACTGATAACTACTTACAAAAAGCAATTTCAGTTCATATTTAAACGTTTTTTAACATTAGAAAATGTGAGTTAGCAGCTATCCAATGCATTTTTTGGAGCACCAAACTGTTAAATTGTTCTCCTGTAGCCTTTGAGTATTTTAAACCCATTGTAGTTTGTTGAAAATCGATATTGACTTCTTGATACTTGAGTTGATGACGATATTGTTTCCCCACACTAAGCATTTCTGAAACATGCAGAAAGCATAGAATCTGAAAACGAATGCACACGTCTATAGGGTATATCCCAAATTAAATAGTAAAATATCAAAATTCAATGGTCTATATAAATAACAATTAGCAACAAAAAAACAAGAACCTTTTTAATTAATATGAGAAGCATGTGCCTTGAATTTACGACAGTTAAAATTCAAATACTTTATTCTTACCTGCTCTGCTCAATCTTCTTCTGAGGATTAGCGACAAAAAAGGGGCATTCATTAAAGAAGTCTAGTTTAAGTTGAACGCTTTCAAATTATATTGTCGGCTCCAAAATCCACAGAAATATACAATATAAATAATGTACAGGAAAAAATCAATTTGTACAAGACCACAGCTGTCAGAAATTTGTTCTAAGGGATCTGTTTACTGCGTTAAGGACTAAAAACACCTGTGATGATAAACAAGTCCTAAGACGCAAAAATAGAAGAGTTACAACACAACAGCACAACAGTGCTGTAGCAAAAAGAAAAAAAAAACCTGTTGCGTAGAATATTTTTCATGAATCTCCTTCATGCATTGCTGTGCTTTTTGTTGAAGGCAAGCCGTCAAAAGGGATTTTCTGGTTACAGCTTCTGCTGTCAGTAAGAACCAGAAAAAAAACTGTCTCTGTCAAAATGCGCTGAGCGCTTCTCTCGTTGAGCGCGTTTCAAGCAGCTTTCCTACCGCAGGAGAGGGCTGTCACCAGAACTATGCGTAGAGATCCCTAGAGGCCAGCCCAGTGCAGACGTTGGCTAGGAGTGACTAAACCATTCAGAATATGTGCGAGTGTGAGTGTGTGAGGAAGGGAGGGGGGGGATGTGGATGAGAAATATAAAGGCGGGGGGTTGGAAGAGAGAGCGAAGCAGTGTGCAGGAGAAAGACACGCTTTTCCTCCAGTGAGAAAATAAATGTTATACATACAGATTGAGCTCTTGAATTTTGGGTGTACAGAGGGCCCTCATTCGGCCTCATTTCATCACCTGAAGCACCTGGTGTCAACCTTAAGACTAAGCTTTGATTAGTGAAGAAAGGTTGCTGCCGTCAGTGTGGGTGCGTTTCTGCCGCCGGCAATTATTTTCTCCCTTGTAACCCTTTCGGTTCAGTTTCAACGGCAACTCCCGAGTAACGAGCTTCACCTGTTATCCCCTGTAGCGCCTGCATGCGCTCCAAAGTAGAGGTCAGAGTCAAAAGACAAGTCTGAGGTTTGGCGAAACAAAAAAAAAAACAGTCAAAAGAAAAGTCTCAGAACAGAATTCTTTGGTTTCGCTGTGCAAAACAAAAGTCTTTCTTAGTGAAAGATAAGAATGTATCAGCCCAGGGCTATAGTTTCTGAAACAGACTTACTGTTTGGATAAACAAATGCTAGAATAGTGTAGTTTTCAATCATACTTTATCTGCAGTGCAATCACACGGAAACCGAGTGGTTTCCAGCAAAATATTTGTCTTTTTTGTTTGCTTTTTCAAAACAATCAAAAGTTTTGCACAATAGAACAGAACATAAAGCATAGTGGAAGCAGAAAAAAAAACGTGAATTCGTTCAAGTAAAAACAAATTAAGTGTTGGGTTATACTTCAGCTTTAAGAGCTAAAGATAACCTTTATGAATGTTACTTATAAGCAGGAAAAAATGAAGTCTATTTAGAATAAGAAACATTTAGAAATGAATGCAACACAGATTAAAACTTTATGTTTGAATAAGAAATTAATGTTATGTATATTCTTTGTAGCAAGGACAATGTTCATTTATTATCTATGATAATCAGCCATTTAAAAAATCCAGAGAGTTTATTTTGAATATGCAGGTTTCTCCAATCTATGTTTCCCTCCCCGGTTGTCAGTGTAGTTGTGACAGCATTGTGCAGTCGTGTGAAATCCTACTGTTATAAAGGGACAGTTAACATTTGTATAATGGTGCATCTACTGTAAGTGCCAGGCTTTTTTACAGCTGCTGATGCTGTCAGAAAAGAGGGGAGCTATCTTTTACTTTTTCACAAATGACTATGTTTTTCATTCAGCAGATTCCCTGGGCCTGTTTTTCTATCAAATAAACAACTATGTATAAAGAGAAATGTGTCCACTTTCATAGTTAGCAGAGCGTTTACGGCCCCAGCTGAAATTAGCCATCTGTTCACATAAAGGCTGCCATTCAAACAACTGAGTGAATTGTCCAATGTGCTCCTTAAGCTGTTCTGGAAGGGCTCCAGCAAAGCTACAATTCTGAATTATCAAAAATGGTTCATAAGAATACATTGATCAAGCTGATATTGCCTTTATTTGTTTTCTGAATGCAGTTAAAACAGGAATGTATGTACAGTACCTGGTTTTTGTGCAAGGCAATTGTAAAAGGAAGGACAAGGGATGAATGAGACAGGTTGAGATGCAATGAAAGAAATTTGAACAATTTAACCTCTGGCTTTAACTTGGGTGCCCCATATTGACCTCTTTGATCTTTTTCTGCAGGAGTAACAATCATCTTTTTCATCGGGTAGTCTTTGGACTGTTTAGTGAGGTTTATACGCCATTTACTTGATTTTTTTGCAGGTGTTAATTACTATAAGACAACATCACTCCAGATCTTAAACAGATAATCCACTCCATACAAAAAGGAGTTTGTAACGTTAGTCTGTTAATCATATTGCTTTGAAAACTGCTTTGTTATTGATCCTTCTGTTTTTTGTGTTCTTTCTTGCAGCTATAGGAATGCCTTGTACATTTAAGGCTCTAGATGAATTCTCTTTAATCTGAAAAAAGCAGCCATATGTTTTATACCAAATGAATGTGCTCATTCACACTGTTATAAAGGCAATGGAAGTGCAAACACTGATACCAAGCAAGGACATCAAAAGACTGCATTCAGTTCAATAGAAATTCTCAGAGCAGAGGAATAGTTTAATCTAAAGCATACTTCCCCACTATCTAAGTGATAGGATAATAGTGCCCTTTTTGTTTCCAATTTGCATCAACAATGCTCCACACTATTCTGGTAAGGACTAAGCAACTGCATGGAGATTTTCTTTAAAAGAAGTGGTTCTGCAGCTAATACATTTATGAAAAATACTTTTTTTTAAACAGGTCTCCATTACATCCTTAGGAGCCAATCGGATTCATAAACAGCCACCCAGCAATGAGGCTACTAGATTTTGAATACACCAAGTTTTATTTTATATTATGACTTAGTACATACCCATCTTCAGAATATGTTTAATAGTGCTCCTAAGGATGCCAATGTCTCACTCAGACAGAACAGCACAGTGCAAATGCTCTCTTATATGTTTTAATCCTTCTATTTAACCCAATCAGTCAATTCAGAACAAATTCTCAATTACAATGAAGAGCACCCATTTGTGCAGACAGGCATTTAGTAGAGTGAAAAATATCCCTCTGGGGTATAGCAGCAGAATTCTGTTAGAGTTTTGAACCTACTGTATAACCCTCCAGCCTGAAGTCCAGAGTCATAACTACCTGTACACACAGCTGCCTTGGGTGTTGTAGTTAATTATTTAGATACATTTTTTTATTATCATTAATGGCTTCCGCATCACAGCAATGCAGATTAAACCCTGGGTACTACAGTAGCATTAACAGAGTTAATATTTACTCTGAGACGCTTCCACAGCATTCATATTACAAAGACGACCTTCTAAAAATGTTAAAATCAATTAATGTTAGTATTTCTGTGGTTGTGTTAGTATTCCACAGTGGAATTGGGATTTATGGCCTTAGTTCCATTAGAAAACAAGAAATTGAATATTTAATCAATAACAGATTACTTATCTTTTAAGTCCGTAAGGGAAGTTTGTACTTTTTTAAAGTTGTCTTGAAATTCAGCGGCTCACAGAGTAAGATGACCTAATTGATCTCATGTGGTTTCTCAATCAGTGTCTTTCTGGTGTCATTCTGAAATGTCAGAATCGAAGTCTATGTTGTAATATAATATATAATATAATAACAGGAAGCAGGAATAGTCTAATAAATAAATTATTTTAAAAAAATGATTTTCAGTGCCTCCATATATGAATCTTCTTAGAATTGTGTTGAAGCTTCTTCAAAATGCAACCATTAACAGAACAATTTGAAACACCTTTTTGATACCATTTTTAGGAAATTGTTTGATTAATTGTTAAACTAAATAGCATCTTGGATTAAATGAAGCATAAATAGTGCTGTGGAATGCAATAAATCATAAGTCTACTGTTTGTCAAATAGTGATTTATTACAGAGTCCTAAATGCTGTCTTAGGGCTAATTTAATTGATTGGGTGCAAAGATCACATTAATAAAAGTGCAATAGCATTGGCACCTAAATGTTTCACTCACTAAACTCAAAATTGTAAGGCTATAATAGTAAATACTTATTCCTGCTACATTTATTGATCATGCCTCCCTGATTTCAAATTTATGACAGTATGGAGTTCATTAACAATATGTTTGCATATCATATTATTGTAATTATGAAAACTGAAATTGAGATTTCTGATGGACCAATAAAAGCTTCATTAAGACAGCTTTCAAAGCTGACTTTTGTAAGTGAATGGGAGGTACAGATAGGAGCCGCTAAGTGATGAAAATGACCAAAAATGAACGAAGATCATGCAGTCAAATGCTACAGAATGCATAGAAAGATCTCTGTTAAGATAGAAATGTGAACTGGTTGGATATCTTCCTGGCTGGTTAGAATATCTTGTGGTGCTCAACGTACAGTCCTTATAATGGGGTGAATTGAACAGACGAAAGCAGCCATTATAGATTCATTCTGTGAGGTTACTGGGCCAGTAAGAGAAACACTCATTAAACAGTATCCATTTTTAGGAAGTGACTTAAGGGAACCGTGTGCTCACTTCTGTTGTTACACTCATTTGGTTACAAGTGAAGAAATTCTGATAACGCGCCTGCATAAACTGCATCACAAGCTATCAAGTAAACAGTCCATTACTTTCATTTTGGCTCACATACAGCTGGTGTGTTCCTCACTATCTTCCCAGCTGTCATGAAAATTAAACACCTGTTGAAATCAAATTGTAATTCTAAACATAACTGTCATCATTTCATCATAGACAAGTACATGTGTGCAGTGAAGTTATGCACTTATCCATAAAGTCCATTTATAAAACAACAACAGCCGCAACAACATAACAATGAATAAAATGCAGAGGTCAGGGAAGATCTGTCTTCCTTGAAACAACCTTCAAAACACCTTTCAGGGCAAAATCTGACGTAAAAAAATAACCAGATTTTTTTACTTCAGTTTTTGTTTTCAATTCTGGAAAATCTTTTCTATTTACAATAAATCAGAATAAAACCCCATGTTTAAGTAGCATCGCTGTGCCAAAGTTTAACAAAAAAGAATTGATTTACAATGTGCTGTGTAACATCGTCCACAATCTTATAAGTTATTGCACCACTTGTACCATGTACAGTGTATGAGTGGGGCATAAGAGTAAAATTACAGGAATGTATTTATTCCAATTATCTGGAGAAGAACCTCTGAAAACTAATCTTGAATAAGGTCAGGCATAGGAGAGCTCCTGATTCTCATGCCAGCTGATCCCAAAGTAACTTAATTGGATTAATCGGACGCTTACTTAGGAGGAGATAATATGCTTTTCAGATTTCTGCTTGCTCAACTTTTAAGGCTACCTATTAAACTCGCGGGACTGTGGCTTCCTGATCCCTGAGCTACTGAATGAAGTACTAAAGTAGTAGGTGGTGCTGAGGTACTTGAGCGGTATCTGTTTATCTGGGGCTCAGCAGCT